CCAGCTGCCCTCTCTGCCTCCCTGGCACGGGCTTGCCTTGGAGGCCCTAGGCAGCACCTTGGCTGGCTGCCATGGAAGGTGTAGAGAGGAAACTTTGGGCCAGCCCTGGCGTCACTCAGGCACAGGAGCAGCACCTGACCCTCACTGTCCCCCACATCCCTGGTCCCACCAGCCACATATGCCACCTGCTATAGATTGTGATACAATATACAGTATTTTCAATAGGGGTAAAACTGGGGGGAGAAGCTCTATTTTCAGATTTTTCAGACCATATTTTTTTTAATGGCATATGGGAAACTGGCTGGTTCTGGGATGGGGGTGGATGGCATGGGGGTGCCAACCCCAATGAGGGTGCCCCTGCTCCCTTGCTGGGCACACTTTCTCTTTCCAGGTGGGCAGTGAGGGATGAACCAGCTCGGGGTTTGCCCTTTGCCACCAGGGAGAGGAAGTGGTGTCACCTTTGAGTCCCCAGCTGCCGCCTCAGTGGTGGCACCCTGGGGTGGACAATGCTGCCATGCTCTGGGCTTTGTCCTCACCCCACCCCTGCTCTACTGCCCTGTCACTCAGGGCTCCAGAAGGGCACTGGCACCTCAGTCTGGCCTTTCCCCAGCCCTGCCACCGTGCCATAGTCCCTATGGCATCTGATGGTCCGCAGAGACGCTCTTGTGCCCATACAGCCTGGGTGGCCACGGTGGCCTTCCTGCCCTGGGCTCAGGGCTGCCTGGGCACAGACCGCACCGGGGGCACACCCCGGGTGGGAGTGGGAGGGTATTGCCCCAGGGCATTGCCCCCAGGCAGGGGTGGCTGCTGCCTTAACACTGTTCGCTTCTTTGAGTTTGGCCCTGCTTCGGCCTTGCCTCCCCCTGCCTGTCCTTGGCCACCAGCTGTGGGCACAGCGCCAGTGCCACGCTCAGCCCCGGGCGTGGGGCCCCGAGGGGTGGGGACGTCTTGGAGCTGCCTGTACATTGCTAGCAAACAAACAAAAAAAATGAAATGTGAAAATAATGATCGTTTTAAATAAAAAATAATAACTGGATCCATCGAGGC